CCCCCCCCCCCCCCGCTTTTTTTCCCTAGCCCTGCTCTGACCTGGCGGGACATGCAGCACCTGGCGGTGAGAGCCTCCCGCCCAGCCCACCTGCAAGCCGACGACTGGGCCGTGAACGGCGTCGGGCGCAAAGGTGAGGGTCGGACGCGGCCTTTTGGAGCTGCAAACCACGGGCACGGGGTTGGGTCGTCAGCCACCTGGGACCCGGGGTCGTCTCCGCTCCTGCTCCAGCCACGAATGGAGCCATCTCCAGCTGGACGCCTGTTTAGCCTCTCGGGCTTGCTGTGACAGGCAGGTGGCACTGGGGGGATTTGTTAGACGCCTCATCCTCCTCAGATCGGGGAGCAATAGGCCCGTGTGAGTTAAGCAGTCCGATGCCAAAGATTTTCCTGGGCTCTCCCCCTGAGCGACCGTCTCTCTCTTCCCAGTGAGCCACCACTACGGCTACGGGCTGCTGGACGCCAGCGTGCTGGTGGACCTGGCCAAGAAGTGGCCCGTGACTCAGCCTCAGAGGAGGTGCTCGGTCAAGGTCGTCTACTCGCCCCTGTAAGAGCCGCAGCCGGCTGGACTCTGGCCTCGAGCCACACCCTGCTGGGGGAAGGCCTGGAAGAAAGTCCGTCCATGCACGGAGCAGGACGGGGAGCGGCTGGGCGAAGCCTGCTCAGGGCTGGGGCGGGTAGCGGGGTCCCAAGCGTGGCACCACCAAGCTACAGCCCTTCGGGAGATGGGGCTGGGGCTGATTCCTGGTGCCGTCCCCTTTAGCGACCCAGTGCCCCTCGAGCCGGTCCCCACCTCATTCAGAAACCTGCCTCCTCTCCAAAACCACCGTCCCAGCGACTTAGCTTGGGGGGCTGCCCTGTCGGTTCCCATTCCCCCTACGCTCCTGCCTTCACCCTGTGCTTGCTTTGGTCCCAAACCAATCTAGACACACGAGAAGCCCGAGTTGCAGCCTCCCTGCTCCCCAGTAACTCGCCCTAGGGTGCGCCCGGCCCCCTGCGTGGGGAGCAGGGACGGGATGGGTCTGGACCCCCCATGTCCTGTCTCCCGGCAGAAAGATTGGCTCGAAACTCTCCGTCAGCAAGAACATCTCCAGCTGCACTGGGAGGGCCAAGCACATTCGCTCCCTGGAGCACGTCCAGGTCCGGCTTTCCCTGAGCTACAGCCGGCGAGGGGACCTGGCGATCTCTCTGACCAGCCCCATGGCCACCAAGTCCACCCTGGTAGCCGTCAGGTGAGGAGAGAGCTGGGGGTGGGCTTCAACTCGGGGCGGAAGAGACGCCGAGCGGCACCAAATCCACAAGCCGAGGGAGGGCTCCCTGAATGCGTGTAGTGCCATGAGGGGCACAGGATCCGTGCTGAGCCGAGTGCAGCTGCAGGTGGGTCCTGAGGCACCGGCTGAGCTGAGACCCCTCCGGCAGGGGTTGGGGTGGTGGGGAGGCATTTTCTCCAGAGCTCGTGCCTGATGCCAGTTTCTGAGGCCCAGCCCAGCATCTGTTGTGCCCAAATGCCCCAGGCCCTATGACACCAGCAGCCAGGGCTACACGGACTGGGCCTTCATGTCCACCCACTTCTGGGACGAGGACCCGCAGGGCACCTGGACGCTCTTGCTGGAGAACAAGGGCGATGCCTATAACACTGGTGAGTGCCATCAGGCCGGGGCTGGCACCGAACTGGGGCCGGAGGTTGGGGAGGATGAGACAGCCAAGGCCACGCGGCCAAATGAGCCGGCCCGCAGGGATGCTCTGGGCTCTTGAAAGCCCCAGAAGGGCCAGCCCCCGTGGCGATGACGCCCACTCTGAGCTCCTGCCACAACGTGCTTGTGGTGGCATCTTGCTGGGACCCCACAGTGCGGAGGGCCCCGGGCTCCCTGACCGCAGGGTCTCGGCCCCTTTCCCCCGCAGGCTTCCTCACCAGCTTCGTGCTGCAGCTGTATGGGACAGAGGAGGACATGAGAGCCAGGCAGCTGGAGGCCGCCGTCGTGAGCAAGTGCACGCAGCGCGATGCCCAGGGAGCCTGCACGGGTGAGTCCTTCTGCCAAGGCAGCTTGCCTTTAGGGGCTTACCCCGCTTGGCAGGCCAGCGAGGAGGTCCAAGGCAACACTGTGCTCCCGGGGGTCCGGCGCAGTCACCGAGTGGCTCTGGGTGCTGCGCTGCTTGCAACGCTGGGACCACCCCCACCCCAACCTGGGAGCGAGGCCTCTGCAAGAGCCCATCGAGCCCCCTGTCTCCAGCCGGCTTGAGCAGCTCCCAGACATGCACAACTCACATTGCACGCTGGGGGGGCGCTTCCTTGGACCCCCCCATCCCGAGCTCCTCTCACCAGAAGTGCCAGGCGTGGCAGTGAGAGGGGATGTACCCTCCTTCCCCCCACAACCCTGCCGTCTCCCTGCAGAGTGCAGCAGCCCCTTCTACGCCTTCCAGCGCCTGTGCCTCTCCTACTGCCCTCCCCGCTACTACACCCGCACCCGACGATCCCTGGGCACCGCCCGCCCCGTCGGGGTCTGCACCAGCTGCCACCCATCCTGCTACACCTGCCAGGGGGACGGCGCCGGCAATTGCACGGCCTGCCCCCCCTTCTGCACCTACGAC